ATTTACGGATTTTTAATTAGACATGACAAATTGTCGAAAAGGGCAGAACAACGAACAATTTATATGCTATATATATATATATATATATATATATATATATATATATATATATATATATGTATATATAATAAGTTTTGTTACATATAATATGTATTATTTTTAGTTCTTTTTTCTTTTTTTTAATTGCTATACCTACGACAAATCTCACCTCTCAATTGGTAGACTGTAGAGAATGCCTTTAGGCATTAAGAATTAATAAAATAATAATGAAAATTGGTCGAGTCATTTTCGAGTTTTTGCGAGACTAACGGACATCATATTGATTTTTATATATAACATACAAAAATAATGTCATAGAATTAGATTTTTATACGTGGTAGAGCCACACTGGAGCTATATTATGGTAGTTGCACGAATGGGTCGGCTCGACCGGGGAAGGACCACGCTCTCACAGAATACTAGCGTAAAATAGAAGCTTAATGCTGCTGTGTTTCGTATGGTGAGTGCAGAGACTGGAGACCCTTTTTACTGGAGACGAAGCTTTCTTAGTCCTCAGGGATGACAATGCTTTTAGTTTTGATTCTTAATCGAGGATAAATGCAGATGTCCATGGACCACAGCATCCACTTACCATCAGGTGGACTGTGTGCTCGTTTGTCGCCCTTATTCTATAAAAAAAAGAGTCTCTAAGTCTCGAGCAGATGCTGGAAACGCTTCAAATAATCACGCCGGATATATGACGAAATTTTCTGGTGATGGAAAGCAACGTGTTAGGTGCAATATTGTGTAGGTACCTAAAATTCTAAATAGGTAGTTTAAATGTTGTACTAAGTTTATTTAGTACCGCACTAAATATATGTCCTGGTATAAAAACTTTAAAAAGAGTCCTTGAAAAGCTACCCATATTTATAACATTGGGCACAGTCCAGCTCAACTGAGGTGAGCATTGAGCTGATACAGCCTCACTCGCAATGGTATTTTTTTTTGTATAATAAGGGTAACAAGCGCACACAGTCCACCCTACGGAAACTGGCTTCTGTGGCCCATAGACCCAAGAATCGAAACCCACCTAGGACTAGGATAAAATGCCTCGTTTCCAGTAAAAAAGGTCTCCGGTTCTCTAGTCACCATACGAAACACCGCAGCGTTAAGCTGCTATATTACGCTGGTATTATTTTAGTTCATCTTTAAATAGATATTATACCGTCATTCAGCACTCATTAGAATGTGGTATGTTAGTTACCAGAGCGTATAGCGTGCAAATATGGTTTGCTTTTGGAGAAGCTGTCAAACCTCCATAAATTACTGTAATTTATAACTAATGTAAAAGAAATTTATATAAAAATTAATCTTTTCCTAACTTTGAAATGCGTGACTAATGGATTTACGTTAAACATTTTGTTCGAATATACACGATCTCACCTCGGACATATTTCGGTGGCTATAAATTAGTGTGAGGGTGCCATGTCCGGGAATAGGCCGGGGGTCCAGCAATAAACCAAACTTTCTATGTCAACTCACAATGTTGCACGGTAAACTCACCAATGACGAGTCCGGGAATGTGGGGAATGCTTCTCAAATCTTATTCAGTAAAAAGATACAAAGAATGAATGATATGAACTTTGAATAGAAGCAAAAGGTTTCTTTAATATTATCATTATTTTATTAAAGACTATATTATGTATTTAATATTTATAGGCATAAAATATTACAGCGTTTAAATATAATAATATTTGTAAGATAATAAAACTTTGCTGTCTAATATTTAATTTAATTTCAGATTTTCATTCATTTAAATAAACCACACACCCCAACAACACACAAAAAACTATTTAAAAAAACCACTCTAAGCTATCCTTATCTTCACAATAGAGTGACATAGAAAATTACCTATATAAATATACAATCTCATAAACATTCAAAACTACTTTCTCAAAGTCGATTATGTTACATATATATTTACGAATTTCCATAATTAATACGTAGGATTAAATAGGTAAAAATTATCAAAAATCCACATCATTTCATTTCAAAGTAAGTATAATTAAATATTTGAAAGAAACATGAACTTATAATTCAATACGTTTACTTCCATCAGATGTTCGAAACTGTTATAAAACATCGTAAAGGTGTAAAATGTTAGGCTGCTTTACTAATATGTAGAGTTAATAAAACATACCTACACGCCGATGCGTTTCGCGCGATAAGTTCGAAGATACGTTCGTCGAATTGTCGCAAGTCGTCGGACGGTGGTCGAGACTTCGCACCGAGGTGTCAACAAACAGCTGCCGCGACAATAATTACCAACAAAGCTTGTCTATTTGTCCACTTCCTTAACGTAGGGACTGAAGGCCTGCGATGTGCTTAACGAAAACAGGACGCGATACGACTATAATAGATATAATTTCGATGTTCCGCGTTTTAGGTGACCTTTCTTTACAACTTAGTTAATCTTTAGTTTCACATGCAGAATTAAAATTCAGTTTTGTTTAGTTGTAAAGACACTTGCCATAACAGTAAAAATCAAATGTCTGGTGTAATGACGCAAAAAAGCCCAATGTATACACGCGCTAGAGTCAAAACAAAATACATAGCGCAGATTGAACAACAACCTGAATGAATTAATGAAATATAACTGCACCAAAAAAAATTATTTAAAGGTGCAATTGGCGGCCAAATGTACATTGCAGAGGATATAATGACCTGTGAGAAAGGACAAAGGTGTACGTAAGTTGTTAGAAAATACACACGACATTAATTCAATTATACGATCAGTAAACATACATAATATAATAACTTGGTAACTGACAAAAACTGACTGCGTGAATCCAAAACTCAAACTAAGTAAGAGCAGAGAGAGGCCTTTAATCACTATTATATTTGTTTGACACGTAATTTTATGTGCAATTTCCCTATATTATAATGTAAATGTCTCCACGATATAGAAGAAACAACGTTGTAAAATGTTATGATAATGAAACGATTTTCAATTTCTTATACTGTAACTTTTAAATCAGATATCAGAAATTGGAATAAATGATAATAAAAAGCAAAACAAAGAATAATAATATTGTAATATATTAATTTGTGATATTAAAAATATCAGAAAATTTAAAATCACAAACATAATGGGTGCGTTTGGCAGAAAAAAGCGCTAGCAAGCGCTTGTAAGCAAAATGGCGTTCGTAAGCGGTAAGCGCTGTCAAATCGTAAGTAGCTATTTTCCTCCAGGACACGATGTTAGTTTTAAGCGGGGAATCTAACCTAATTTAAATATATGTTTGTAAAGTATTCATATTAAAAACTTACCAATCATGAGTTTTTAATAGCATGTATATATTTATTCATGTCATTATATTACTTAAAACTAATATTGCACAAAACAACTTATAAACTCTACTTCAAAACAATCAAATTAAATAAGCAAAATGGCGGATTGTGTCAGCGCTACTGAAGTAGCAATCGTGTCCTGGCCGAAAACTATTTTAGCGCTTATAAGCGCTTGCTAGCGCTTTTTTCTGCCAAATCGCAACCCAATATTATCTACCTTCATAAAAATTAATACCTATCCGGTAGTCCCGCTAAAACTCGAGAAGGGCTCGTACAATTTTAATGTAATTTTTTGTGTGCATTTGAATGGATAGTTTATATTTACGATTGGACCCGGTAGATGGTACTGTTGCCAAAATGCAGAACTCACCCGTGCGAAACCTGGTGGATGGCTAGTATATGTATAAAATTACATAAATAAAAATAAACGATATTTCGTTTCAATTGATTTTGTTGTAGTTGGTTAAACATGCTGTTCTTGTAAATTGTATATTGCTTACGTAAACCATTAGTAGTCTGTTAGCGAGGCCATCACACGCCATACACCGGCTACAATACTCTGTTGACACACGAGATGTCAAACTGCGCAGGCGCAACGCAAACACCCTGATTGTGTTTATAGCCACTTAACGAGAACCCGCGACAATTCCGATTAGTACTCGAGAAAAAAATCACCGTGTTTGTCTTAAGCGAAAGCAGCTACTTTGTAAATGATTTTTTTATTACAGCTCAAAGAAAAGCTTTCTCGTAACCGCATTTTATCATCTATTTAAATACAACTTCTAAGTTTTACAATGTCTTTCGGAAAGTTATATTCGCAACGACGATACAGTTATTGTAAATTATGTTGCACCGTTTGTAAATTACATTTATGATTAAATTTAAATAGAATAAGTCACTTTAATCTCCACAATTCGTGACAATGTACCTTTAACGGACAAATTTACTGTTGGACGCAAGTCTCGCCGTAACAGCACTTGACGCAACGCAACACCTTAGACAACAACGTCTATACTGTGAGTATGGAGTGTAGAAGTAAGGAGTACCAACTCCCATAGTAGAACAGTTGAAAAAGTGGCCATCTGTAAGCAGTAAATAACAGCTCAAAAACTCTCCACAACAGCGCTGGAGTAGCTACTGGGATATAATGAACTTAGCAGTTGTCGACGATTTAAGTGTGGTGCTAAACTGCTCAGTAGCTCTAAAATCTTAAATAATTTTATTTAGTAAATATAGCGAAAAAGTCGTCTATCGCTCTAATATTTTTCGGTGCGTTTTTTTAAATTTACCCCGTAGTTATAGTGGCGCCACCCTTGTTTAATGGTTTTTATGGACACTTTTTAATACACAGTCTGTACTCCTTACTTCTAAACTCCATAACTGTGAGGTTACATTGCCACTAACTTGCGAATGCCATAAGATTTTTTGACGTCGCTTTTTCCACATTTAAAAGATATTATGTGCAATAAAGATGAAAAAATGTATATGTTCACTTATAGGCATTCTAAATCTTTACATACAAACGTGAAATAATATTAAAAAGCATATTAAGAGGCATTTAATAATATTCAATGCCTTTGAATTATCAACCATGTTTTTTTAAATCATCACAAAGAATAAAGTTACTCAAGGTATATTGAATGCATCATAATATATTATTATGTTTTTAGATGACAAGAGCAGCAGAAGAACACGGCGAGCTGGGCCTGAACGCAAGCCACGGCAAGCATACAGTGCTAAGCAACTTGAACGACTTGAAGCCGAATTCAAATTGGACAAATATCTCAGCGTATCAAAGAGAATGGAACTCTCAAAGGCGCTGGCTCTCACAGAAGTACAAATAAAAACATGGTTCCAAAATAGAAGAACAAAATGGAAAAAACAGTTGACGTCCCGATTGAAAATAGCGCAACGTCAAGGATTGTTTCCCGGGCAGATCTTCAGCCATAGTCCGCAGGCGTACTCACTTTTAAATCCGTACGCGTATGCTCCACTTACTTGTGTTTTTACTCCAGTAACTTTACCATCTACACCTTAAGTATTCAGTAAAGCTCTAAAGATCCTTTCTATTTATTTTAAAAATATTTCTCATTTAATTAGAGAAACAATATACCCTCATCTTTACTATATTATTTATATATTTAGCTAAAAACCTGTTCTACGTAATATTTTATTATTATTAGTTATAAAACTTGTATAGTAAAAGCTTTCTAGTATTATTATTGAAATGTAAAAATAACTATAATAACACAAATTTTATACTATATTTTGTATAAAGTTTGTGTTATTATACTAGATGGCCCGGTAGACGTATTTCTGCCTACTCCGGTAAAGGCGAGAAAAGCTACACTCAGAATTCATTCCAGAATTTTTACACTGTTAACGGGAAATATTAAAAATACTACCTCAAATGGCTTAGCAAGATCCTCCGTTATGCCGAAAATATTGCAGCATAAATTTTGAAATAAATATATGATAAAGTTGAGGATTAATGCTAAGTGCTATGTTAGACGAAAACACGATTCTGTAAAATTTTCTCGATAGAAAAAAATCCAAAGTTACCTCCAAACTGAACAATAAACCGCTGTTATTCAAAAAATACTTTATATTAGATCATGAAACTTTGCATACTAACTTAACTAACTATAAAGAAGGGCTTATGTTTTTTTATTTTTTTTTAAATTACCGTTATTTTCACTGTAAAAAGAAATTACCTAAACTATCGGCGTCTTGAAGCTTGTTTCCTGCCGCCCGGTTAGTCTCGCTTCGGCTATTGAATGGGGAAGCTGTATCACTTACGATCAGAATACACATTACGCAACAGGATGACGTAAAATTAAAACGGGAAATAACCGTAATAAAAGTAAGAAGCGATTGGGTTGGCGTAAAGAAACAGGCATAAATATGATAAACTTAATGAAATAAGTATCTAACGACCTGTCTACTTACAGTATTGGAGATTACAAACATGTCGGTACATAACATACGACGTGCGGGGAAGTGGGGGCGAAATTAGAATTTGAGCTGAGTTATATACCCTATATAATATTTTTAACTCAACCACAGCGTCATATTCATTTTTGGACAAATCAACAAATTTTGGTCCATAAATGTAGAATTTGCTAATAACTTGACAACAGCGCTATCTATCGAATCCTAGCACTGATATGAAACTTTAAATTCATAAGTAGAAATTACACACGCAAGTACTATGTATGAGCGTACGTTTTGCATGATATTTTTTTTTTGTTTCAAAACTTTCATTGTTTCAAATAATATGAGGAGCTCAAAACATTTTGAAAATATTCTGAGATATGTATTACGATAAAATTGACTTTGCACTGAAGAGCCGTGGTAGCTCAATGGCTAAGCGCTCGCTGTAAATTTTAAAGTACGCGAGCAAACCCGGGTTCGAACCCCAGAACAACAGCGACATTGAAATTGTTAATTTCAAATTTAAGTACTGTTTTACCACGTGCTCGGTGCTTGGCGGAGAAGGAAAACATCGTGAGGATTGTCTGAGAAATAAGAAAAATAATATTTCGAAGATATGAGAAGTTATCCAACACGCATTAGGCAGCGCGGCGTGGCGGACACATCCTTGCCCTAAAACCCTCTCAGAAATCAGAGGGGGCCTGTGCCCAGCTGTGGGACGTATACAGACTGTAACATAACACATTAACATGGCCTTACATTTGTTAATTATAATATAATTAATGGTCCATGCTAAATTCCGCTGAACGGAACACTTCTAGAATTACGAGTACCTCGGTGTCTCTGTCCGTGTGCTTAAGAGTGTTTTACGTAGATGTTTAAAGGAAGTTGAAGTGGCATGTGTCGAGGAGTAAGACGTATACTTAATTAATTCATCCAAACAACATACACACATATACAAATATGTGTAAATAATAAGTTCGATATTAACATAGAGCTGTTATTCGTAACGTCACCACACTTGGGATCGCTTTTCGTAACATTTGTAGTGTTAACTATTTTTATTACAGTGCGAAATGCATACCTAACCATTCTTAAACTCGCTACTTTTATCACTTCGTCTATTGGTTTGTCCTATATCGAAGGTGTGAATACTGAGGTAGTTAATTTGTTTTATGTCATGTTACTCATAAATAGATAAAACTTGTCGTAGTATTGTCATAAAAATGTAGAGTTTAGAAATTTTTTCGTTTTGTATATATTTTAAATAATCGGAGTTCGATTGTTTTACATTTGTAATTTATTAGAGCTTGTATATTATTGTTGTATTGTAATACAGAATATTAGCCATATCAGTACAAACATTTAAAAAATTAATTATTGTGTGAAATTAAATTAAAATATCTTCCCAGTATAAACTTCATTTCAGTATGGATACTATGTCATTTTAATCGGCCGGCATAACAATATGATACTGTGATAAGATTTCACATTTTTAAAATTAATATATTGTATGATATTAAATGTTGATATGAGTAAAATAACAAAAATCAGATTAATTTTATTGATAAATAATTTATTAGCCTTAAATTAAAGTGAATTTTAGACTATATTTTTTGCTATAAATTTATTTTTTAAATTATCATTTAAAATGCAGGCATATCGTAAAAGAGACAAAGCTCGTAAATTAGAACAACTATGTATGGAACATATTAACTTATTACATATATAAATCCGTACAAACTTCCCTGTTCTTTTGTATAAACATATTTTTAAATTATTTATTACTTAATAAACATATCCACCATCACAATATTTTTTATTTTTGAAAAATTCAACATTATCAACATTGATTTCACAAATTACAAGTTTCTGGTCAAGAAGTCGATTAAAAACGTTTGTGGGATAGAAATAATTTAAATTGAACTTTTTACAATAAGATCACATAGTTTAACTTAAGTTAATATTTAAATAAAACTCAACATTCAAATTCTATCTCTATCTGCCCATGTATTTATATATGAAGCGACATGATTATAGGTAAAGCCTGTGAAATCAAAAGTTGTGATTTCGAACTCACAATTCGGTCGCACTCACGTGGTTCATTAGTAATTTTCATTGTTATTGGTTTTAATGTCATTGCTAGTATTATTTAACTTAATAATAATTTTTGAAGCAATAATGATAATGTTTTCGGTATGTATTTATATCAAAGAGCAGTGATGTTTCGGATAAAGCTTGTCGCAGTCGGCTCCACCCAGCCCCAACGCGGCAGCACTCAGCGCGCCAAGAGCTCCTCCTCGCATCCATGCCACGCCAGCACTACACAAAAAGGTAATTTTTATTCCATTTCATTACATAATATTTATATTCGAATAATGTCCTCCAGACCGAATTTCGGCCACGGCGGCCTGCCTCAACGGAGGCTAGCCATCGGCGCAGGACAGGATTATAGTGCCCAAGTGTATGCGCAAGCACAGGTGCACTCTCTTTTCCCTCACTCTCATAATCCGATGGGACGGTAAACCGACACGACCGGATTGAGATCAGACGCAGGACCAACGGCTTTACGTGCTTTCCGAGGCACGGGGGTGAGACACCGCCAACTTCCTGACTCCGCGCATCTACTGAGAATTTCTTGACGGAAAAACTCAATAATTAATTTTTTGGCCCGACCCAGGATTCGAACCCAGGACCTTATGATCAGCAGTCGCACTACTACAACCACTAGGCCAACGAGGCAGTTATATGGGTATAACAATACATGAAGGCGATATATGCAGATTATATTGACATAATATTTGAACCGTTTCTTACGAATGAACATTTTAAAAAGTTCAGATCAGTTACATTAAAAGGTGGTGGCATTTAAGATTTTTTGAAATCAAATTGTGAAAATTGAATAGTATATTATTTCTGTCGTACGTGAAAGATACGTGTTAATAAAGCTCGGTAACGGTCAATATTGTGCAAACATAACTCTTTCGTTTATAACTTCTTACGGTAACATAGAGCCGATAAATTAAGAATTAAATAAAAAAGTATGTAGGCGGCACTGAAAATTTCGGGAATCAAGGAAGTGACACAACATTACTATTTAAAAATGTATTTAATGCTTTTCGAAGTATTCTTCGCGAAATTTGACACATTTTTCAATACGATGGAACCAATCATTGAAGCAAACCATTCCATTCGGAAGTTGGGGTCTCCAAAATGGCCGTTTTGTAGGCGTCCACAGCTTCTTCAGGTGATGAAAATCTCTGTCCACGCAATTTATTCTATATTTTAGGGAAAGTATAGAAATCATTAGGGCTTAGGTCGGGGCTGTACGGCGGATGGTCTAATAATTCTATGTTTTCTTGCTCTAAAAACTCTTTTGTTCTGTGTGCGGTGTGAGAACTCGCATTGTCATGATGGAGGATGATGCGGCGGTTGCAGTTCTCTTTACGGAGTTCAGAAACGACCTGTGGCAAACAAATGCTAGCATACCATTCTGCAACCGTTAACCGTTCTTTGTCCCTCAAGAGGAATAGTCGTAACATGGCCGGTTTTGGAGACAAACGTGGCCACCTTTTTTTTGCAACGCTCCGCGAACGAACAATTTTTGTTGGCTTTAACTCATTTTCGAAAACCCAAACTCGTGACTTTTTTTTTGTTTCGGGTTCGTACGAGTATATCCAGGATTCGTCACCTAATACGATGTTGTATACAGCATTTGAGGATCCTGCATGGAATCTTTCGAGAGTTCTGACGCACCAAGTAACGCGAGCCGCTTTTTGCTCTTCACAGAGCGAATGCGGTATCCATCGGGAAAACAACTTTTTTAGAACTAATTGTTCACGCAAGATTTTCTAATGTCTAAAGTTGCCTGAATTTCGCGGTATGTCACATGTCGATCTTCCTCAATCAGCTTACGCACAGCATCAACGTTTTCTTGGGTGACTGCAGTTTTTGGACGACCTTGACGGGGATCATCACTGAGCTTGACACGTCCACGTTGAAATTCAGTAAACCAGCGATAAATTGTGGTTTTGGATGGGGCTTCATCACCAAGTGCAGAAATCATCCGGTCAACACACTGTTTTTGTGTTAAACCACTTCGAAAGTCATAATAAATCATCGCTCTTGAATTTTCTTGAGTCAATTCCATTTTCTCAACGACTAAACAAGACTTGACAAAACCTTGTGACGAGACCGAGAATCTTTTTTTAAATAAATAAATGGTATTCGATTTTTAAAACCAAGGAGTTTTCAATTAAAAAGATTTTAATATGACAGGAACAGTGGAAATATTCCATTCCCGATACTTTTAGTGCAGCCTAGGTACATACTTCACCCTACATATTCATAGCCGATGGGATGATGACGAATATGCAATACATAAAGCGGGTCAAGTGGGTGCCCTAATTATACACACGTTACTTCATACTCGTAACACAATACATTTATACTAATACAATAAAATCGACTAAACTTAACCAGAATCATAATACCATAAAACCAATAATTTATTGGGTCTGTATAACCCTATAAAAGATATCAAATTCAATCTATTTCATCAAAGTTCAAAAAACAAATACGTAAATTTTATATTTTTCATATAACACGAAGCCTTCCCAGGTCTGCTCAGCTAAATGCTGCTTTGTTTCATAATGTATGTGGCGAGAACTAAACCGTTTAACTACAGATAAGAATGTATATACGGAAACGTTTAACTAGCAACGAGGGCGATAATGCACCTGCATTTTGATTCCTAACCAATGATAGCTGTAGCTGCATATGGGCCACAGCACTAGCACCAGTTGATGAACTGTGTGCTTGTTAACCATCGATACTTATACCTACCAATAAATATAATAATAACTTCTCCTATTCGTTAGGATTTCCACAAAAATAAATGGCAGATGGATAAAAACTCTGACCTAAAACAATTACTTGTGAGTCATACAAATACTTACTTCGTGTGGAGACTACAACCTTTAACAGTAAACCTACCAGGCTATGAAACCGTCATATTAAGCACTCGCTCAATTCTCAACTTTATTAGTTCAGATGAGGTGATTTAATTGATAAAGGTGTTGACAACACCAACATTAAATTGCATATGTCACACTCATATCTATTTCCGCCTCCAAAATGCAAAGTGTGCCCTGCTGTGTTCCATTTTGAAGCGTAAAGAGAAAATCAATATAATTACAGGCCGTTAGGCATTCCATCTTGATCCAGTGACAACGCATGTGTAGTGCACTTTCTTTTAAAGTCGGTTGCAGGTGTCCATGGACTGCCGTACCCTTTTACTATCACGTGGAATGTAAATTTTTAGTCACAATTCTATTTTATTAAAAAAAAATGTAACTTTAGAGCCGGTATTAATTTTTTTATCTATGGTCTCGATAGCGTTCAACAGTACATTTGCACTGAGAAACATCCAACACGTAATGTTTTAAACAAATCGCATAAAATAAATCACACAACATGTTTTGTTGATTTATCAATTTCAATAAAATTGTTATAAAGATATATAGTAATGTACAATAAACTGTCAAACATATTTCACTACAACATGTTCTTTGACTATGCAAACGCTTTTTGATACATTGACAGAAAACAGTGTTTAAATTGTTTTTTTTGTGAAAATCGCGTCGGTGCAAACTCAGAGTTAGTCTTACGTAGGTTAAGCACCGAGTGCCGTCGATAATTATGTTGTATAGACAAACCTTGTTAGGTTTTTGCGACACCGTGTTCAATTAATTTAAGTTTTGTATTTGATTTATTTTAACTAAAAAAAAAACTCCTTGTGTGTCTCCCGATATTAATTTTTCCTACAAAAATTTTGACATTTTATTTAATTTTCTGCGCCCTAGGGGCCCACTAAACCAAATATATTTTATGAATATATTCATTGATTGTCTGCGAACTGTACGGACTGCACAGAAGCAGTTCACAGACAACAAAACATCACAACCAAAAATTGTGTGTTATTACCGATTTCAAAAAGGAGGAAGTATTCAATTCGACTATATGTTCTTTTTTTATGTGTTACCTCATTACTTTTATCCGGCTGAATCGATTTTAATGATTCTTTTTATCTGAAAGCTGGCGCTTCTCGTGTGGTCTCATGGAAATTTAATCAAGATCTGACAAGTAGTTTTTGAGTTATCTTTATATAACTGGTGTGCATATATAACTGACTCCAAATACATTGATTCGGTCGTATTGAAGTCGTTTGTACAAAATTTTTAAAAGCATATAAAATAAAATACATCTCTTTAAAGAAAAGCTCATATGAACGAAGAATTGTACTCACTGCCACAGGGGTAACCAATATCGGATGTCGTCTTGCACATTTCTCGAGTGTTTGTTGCCAATGCACAATGTACGGTATAAGCATGGTGTAGTCCGTGGTTTCGCAGCCATGAGGGCGTATCGCGTTAGCGTGTTGATCTTAGCGACACGCCCGACGCGTTCCACATCCCGCTTGAACCGGAACCCTTGATCCACGTTCACTGTGTCCCCATTGTCAACCACTTGCACGACTTGGGTTTGTTGATCGCTCTAAAATAATATAAAATTGTAGATTATGTATGTCTTCCCTCATTTCTGAAAGGATTTGAAAGGAAAGAAAATGTCCGCCGGAATGCATCAATACGTCTGTCTATTTTTTGAAATATTTTCGTAATTCTTAGACATGCAAGTTTTTTCGCGATGTTTGTTTTTCCTTAGGGCTGCAAACGTCGCTAAAGTAAAACATCGTAAAGAAACCTGCATGGTTCTCCTGAAATTGCAATTAACAATTTCATTAGTGTCGCCTGGTGAATTCAAATCAAACTCGGGTTGATTGCCGCTGAAATTTTTATCAAAATTTTGGTAATCTTAACATCTTTCTTGTTTGTGAAAAATTTCTATCTTTCCTTATCCAGTCGCCAATCACTTCATCCTCTTTACACGACCTTTTTTTCATTTATGTTAGGTTTAACTGGCAAGCCGATTTAAGTTCTTCCTCTTCTTCATCTGCTTACCCAGTCCACTGCTGGATGTGGGTCTCTTCTGTTGTAAAACTGATTTAGGGTAATCCCCACACTTGGCAAACAGATTATCGATCGCAGTATCAGATATCTGTTCTTCTGACGCTGCTCCCCATACCAGTATGGATATTACGTATCGTAACGCAATGATTATACCGCCATCTATCGGAAGCTATATATACTTAGATATAGTAGCCTTTTATGAGCCCATTGGAATAAAATAAGTTATAACGGACCCTTTCTCCGTCACCATACGACAAACCTTACATTACATATCATTCGATTCTATCTGCCAAGCGTGGTGCTTATTAAGTACTGCGAACTTAGGAAATATCTACGTATATGCAACAGTAAATAACATTTATCTACTAATGGTCGCCAAGAATTATGACCGTAATTCAAAAAAAATTTAGGTTTGTACCTATATTAGACAAGCTGTATTTTACTTTAAGCAACACATTAATATATAAAATACAGATATCTTATATACAAAATATAAAATTAACACTTTTTTACCTGGACTTACAAAAGAGGAAAGGAAATAATGTAGACGAAAAAAAGGAATATTTGAATCACATCAAATTCACAGATTACATTTTCAAATTCTAAGGCGTCAATCTCTACTCTGTGCGGCTAACTAACCACAGCTTATGCTCTGAGACAACGACGTCAAGAACCACAGACTATATAATCTCTACGTCTGATCGTCAACAAACCACATTGTAAAAAAAAGCACATTATAAATTATAGTATCTATCGACAATCATGTGTTTGACATTGGCAATATGAACATAAACTATGTATTTTATTTTATTTTATTAGATGTATTTGTAACATAACTTAATAACACATTTCGTATAAAAATGTTAGCTTTCTGCACTTTTTCTTCATTGAACTTTAACTATGCTAAACCACACACTCTATTTTATGAATATATTCTTTTCTCCTCCTTGCGCGCAATATGCTTAAAAATGGATATAAAGATCACGTATTAATTAATATACGAGTATCAGTGATAGTGTATATAAAGAGTATAATATACACTATCACTGACGAATATAGATCAGGCCGCGCTGCCCCAATGCGTGTTGACGAACTTCACATATCATTGAAATATTTATTTTTCTTATTACTCAGACATGCCGTTTTCTCACGAGTTTACCTTCACCGCCGAGCAAGTGGTAAATCAGCACTTAACATCGCAATTAACAATTTCAATGGTGCCGGCGAGGATGAACCCGAGTTGCTCGCGCACTGTGAAATTTACAACGAGCCCTAACCATCTGAGCTACCACGACAGAGGGACGAACACTTTCTTACACTAAAATCCTTTCAGAAACGAGAGGAGGCCTGTGTCCAGCAGTGGATACGTATATAGACTGTGTGTTTAAGTTTATAGTAAGGCAAAATCTTTTTGAAAATCGTAAAGTTAACGCAACGCATAAATTACTAAAACTACTTCATACTTCATGTCCCTTAAGGGAATCTAATTAAACAATATTTATAAAACTTACCATTGTTATGCACATTAACACCTGCAGTGCAAACATTCCAAAAGACAAAAAAGCAATTCCAGTAAGCGAGATATCAAAGAGATCTGCAATCCCCAAACTGCTGTGATTCTCTCTTTCCATCACATAGTCATCGTGAACCTCATGAGGAACTGCAGGTTGATGGTAGATGGGTGGTGGCGGTGGCGGCATCGCAAAGTCATAACCACCACCTGAAAATAATTTCGCTGTATACTTGGTATTGGTCGAAGATTTTTTGAATTCTAATTTATTGACTTCATAGTTTCAATTTTATTTTATTTTAATGACACGGAATTCTTTTTTTTTTTTTAATTAGTCATTTCTTTATTGATTAGCGCTACGTTATCAAAAATTTGAATCTTTTTCGTAATCATGGATATGTTAGAAATCCGAGTAATTATGGAATATAAATATATTAGCTTATATAATAGTATAAGCACATGAGTAAAGAAACCGACTGTTTAATCTGTGATATAAGTACCGTCATGGCTGCAACGCGGCACAGGTGGAACGCAACATAAACGACGTTTACAGAGGGAATACTACAACGAACGCACAAACAATATGAAAAATTAACCCCGTGTTCATCCGAAAACTTTGGTCGATAATCACAAATTACTCAATCTACTAATATACGTTAGTATCAAAGCAATATTGGTCCATTTGCGTCAAATTGGCAAGGTTATAAAAACTTGACAAATGGGTGCCCCACGATCTCAATGATCGCCAGCGCGAAGTACGCGTTTGCACGGCTCAACAGGCACACAAACGAAGGAATTTTGAACCGTCTTGTTACCTGCGACGAAAAATGGATTTTGTTTGACAATTGCAAGCGCTCAGCAAGTTGGTTGGATCCTGGTTCAGCACCAAAACAATGCCCTAAACGAAAACTTACCCCTAAAAAAGAGACAGCTACCGTTTAATGGTCTCGCGCCGGTGTGATTCATTACAGCTTCTAAACTGATTGAACATTACTAAAGATGTGTATTGTGAAGAACTGAACACAATGATGGAGAAGCTCGCACTTCTCCAACCAGATTTGGCCAATCGCTCGTCCCCGCTGCTCCTGCACGACAACCTGTGATCTCATACCGCACATCAGACAGTCCTTCAAGGTACAAGAGCTGGGGTTGGAAGCTCTCCGTCATCCACCGTACTCACCAGACCACGCGCCTACAGACTTCTACTTTTTCCAAATTTGGATAACTATTTGGCGGAAAAAAAATTCAATACCCGAGAGGTAGTACAAATTGACGTCGTCGTTGAACGTCGAGAGGTGGTAGTAAAATACCTTTAAAGAATTTGTTGCCTCCCGTCCAGCTGATTTCTAAAAAACATACATTTTAAGGTTGCACAGTTGCGGAAGGTTGTGCCACTTGTACACAGTATACTAAAATTCCGAGCAGATGGCTATACTAGCCGCCGTGTTCGGCCACGCGGCCGGTATCAAGCGATACATAGTTCAGTCTAAGAAGATTCAGTCTGTAGGGCATTGTTTAATAACAACTAACCGTGCTTGGACACGTCGTATGGCGTTCTTTCAGCTCCATAACTCGGCATATCATGATCTTCAAACACTTCATAACCCACTCTTTGTTGAACATTAGGTTGTAGAGCATCTGTTGTTGATAGGTTGTTGGTATTTAAATTATTAGTGGCGTTATCACGATATAAGTCGTTGAGAGCTGCTACTCTGTTAAAACAAATTAGTTACAAGCAGATATAAATTAGACGGTGCTCTAATTTTAGTTAGGTTATAATAGTGATTTAGTATGAAAGTCAAAATGAAAAATCCTATACTTCTGGAAATATATCTTACACTTTTTTCATTTCACATTTTTAAAAAGTTTTTACGGTTACTCTTTTATTTCTAACAAACTATCCGCCCTGTTTTTTCTTGGATAGGAATTTATAGATGTAAATGATGCGGATTATTGGTTTAAGGTAATTCGAGACCGTTTATTTCAACTTTTCGAAATATCCAAGTTTCTCGGATAAAATATGACCTAGATAACAACAATATATCTATCCTAGATTGTTCTGTTTTTAGTATCATATTAAAGTGGTATACATACATACATAAACAGTTACGCCTGTCACCCAGAGGGGTAGGCAGAGACCGGACTTCCATTTGGCACGATCCTGACGCACCTCCATGAAGAGGTATCTCTATTCAATCATGTCATCAAAATAAATATCGTTGATAAAAGACAAATTACTTTTATCGCGCCTTTATTTGTCTCAATTGATTTTCGTAAAATAACGAGTGGAAATTAACGCTTTAATTTAAAATTTAAAACATATGATTTTGTTTGCAATTTTTGACGGACTGGATCGAAAATTACCTTTACACAATTTTAGCTCTCGAAAATATCAAAATAACTTACTTGGTTAGCCATTCCTGATAATTTGCTGAGCCGACATCGTACATAACATTGCTTCTTAAATCCTGCGGTCTAGATACGATACTGTCACCTTTGGCATCCATTTCAGAGGGTTTTCCGATACGATTCTGCAAAACCGATGTACCCATTTCCTCTAATATATGTTCAGCAACATAATTCCGGCATTGATATTCGTTCATCATTTTTCTACAAAAGGTATCAGTTAGTTAAATATTGTATAGCTTATTAAAAATATTGTTAATAACGATCAACTAGTTTTTCTTCGCGGTACGAGTAAATGTAAAGTGAAATTTTAAAAATATAATATTCAGAATAAATGAATGAAAAAAAAATTTGAAATTTTACTACTTTTTGTGTCTACGTATTATAAATTATGTAGTTTTATTTTATTTTATTACAATGATATTATTACATCATCATGTTTGATTATAAAAAATTATTCATAAATAGATAAAATTAACTCGTCCACGATGCACGCCACCTATAATAATTATATAAGACAACATTTAGTTTGTAATTCTAGAATAGTAATATTGTAACATAACCACAGAATAAATAACGGTACTAAAATAACAAATGATGTATGTCATGTTGGTTATTCTTAATAAAATAAAATAAACTGTCAGTCGAAGAACTGCACGTCAGAAAAGAAAACTTCTTAGCTATAAACTTATAAACATTATTTTTGGGTTGTTAAGAAATATTTTAGGAAGTATTTTTTATTGGAAATAATTTTTATCAACGTATTCTACTTTTATTTGAAATTATTCCAAATTGAATGTGATTTATGGGCAACAACATTTTTGCCTACCGATTGACCACTGACCTCTATATATACAAGTATAAAAAATTTCTGTGCCAATTTGAAGCGCCACTATTTGTCGTCTTGAGAACTAAAATTGACATATTATTCCAAAGTCTGTTGTCTTATTATTTAAAAAATCTGTATTTTGAACTTTTAAACTAAAAAACGAAAGTATTTTATGTTGTTTGATTGTGTATGATGTAGGATTATTTTTAATAATAATGAGAGTGTGTGTAATATGTAAAACTTGTTACCAAAATAGAAGTGGTAAGTGGTATAACATTCCACAAGTAAGGGAATTTGCAGCTAATATTAAACAAATTGAAATTATTTGTTAATATAGATACTTAAAAATTCGTTACTAATCTTAATATCACAATTACCAACATGTTTAGCTGTATATTACTGAGTTTGATAAACAATAAAATTCAATAGGGTTATCGAGTTCCTTGTATATAATACTTATCGATGTTCTTTCCTACCCATATTCTCCATATATTTTCAAAAATTGTAACTTACGCATGCAAAACATGAAAACTTACACAGAGGGACGAAGCGAGATATTTGAAAGGAAAGTGCTCAGAAACATATTTGGACCAGTCCGAGAATCTGATGGCACGTATCATCGGTGCATGAATCACGAGCTTGATGCTCTTATAGGACGTGAGACCATCGTCAGTATCTGTAAGTCATAGCGTTTGAGATGGGCAGTCCACCTGGAACGAATGCTTGATTCTAGGGCCGTGAAAATCATGACCAAGTGGACTCCCCAGCAAAATAGACCAAAAGGCAGACCAAAAAAACGTTGGGTAGAAAATTTGGAAGAGGCTCTGAGAATAATGGTTAAATACACCAACTGGCGCAGGAAGTCGAAGGATCGCGACAAGTGGGGGAATATTGTGGAGGAGGCCAGGGCCCACAAAGGGCTGTAGCGTCACAGGATAGATAGATAATATGTGCAATCGAAAGGAAACACAATGCGAAAGAAATTGGCGAACGGATGTAGAGTTATACAATATCGGAGAGCACCGTGTTTTGCATTTAGAGCCCGGAGCTTACGATCACGGAGTCCCAGTCTCCTCAGTTGGCACGAGAGACTGAGCGGGAATGAATTTCAGTCTGCAGACCACATATCGGTCAATTCGTAAGCCAGATCGAGATATACTGCTTATCTACTTCGGCTTTTTTGCTAAGAGTTCGTGAAATGTCTTCATACGGAAAGGTAATGACAACCAAAAATATCCATAATTGTTTCCTAGTTCACCAACGCATAATCAGGCTTTATCAGTCACCGTACCGTACGAAACCCAGCACTATTTACGCTATTGATATTGTTTATTATTTGTGAATTTCTATAGTATTCTCGTTTGGTTAGGATTCATAAGTACTTACATTATATAAGTTATATACCATAAGCGTAAATAATGGAGTAAAAAGGACTATATAAAAAATAAGTTAAATTTTTTGTCTAAGTCATTGAGCTATTATGTAACAAATTACTTCAATGGGTTAACTATTACTTTTATTATTCCCGTATACCGTAGTAAAATATGAATATAGTAATAATAACAAAAATCACCTGTGAAAATCTAGCAAAGAGTAAGCGGCGTCCATTGATCCATTCACGGATGGCATAAAATTTCGCGTTTCGTTACCAACCACTTTTTCCTCAACAGCATCATTCGTCATAAAATATGTCGGCATCAAGTCATTACGAAGTATATCATTGACATTTAACTCGTCGTCAATTATTTTTAACATTGATGTTATTTTAGTAAATAAAATTAAACATAAAAATATAACATGAATTTTATAGCTCATTTTCTTTGCTTATCGAGCAGAGCACGTACATACTCCACGCAAAGACCGAGAAAATGACAAATAAACTTTCATGTTCCTCTCTCCTTTAATCATTACGTTGAAGAGGTTCAACGTAATGATTACACGAGTTATAGAGCAGAAAATTCCACGATGAAGATTCGTCGCCAGTGATCAGATCACAACTGTACACTTTAAAATATAAATGTCTCAACTTGCAAAAATATATTATAGTTGGCTTAAGCATTTCTTATTGGTTTGTTGTGCTTACGCGAACACTACACAAACTTTTATAGATTTTATCGTGTTTATTCGATTAGATCCCAATCCAAACATCCTACTGCAAGTGTTTGAGATACTATAAGTTCATTTGACCAAAAATTATAATACATATAAAAGCTGAAAATATCCAGGACTAACTTACCTGAACTAAAGTTACCAAACTCAAATTTTGCAACTTTATAAGGAACCGATGACAAATACAATAATTTCATGACTTTGACCTAGATCTTAAAATCATCACAGATCATGATCAATGCATGTTGTTTGAGCTTTTTAAACTCTAATAATATAAAATAGAATATTATTATACAATATTTTTTATTCAATATAGATTACATGTAATTCTTACTAAAAATCAATTTTCTACTTTACCATTGGTTCGAAAGAATCTCTGTCTTGAGAAGAACCAGCAAGAAACCCAGCGGAAATTGTTTAAAAAAAAATTTACAATGTCAATGTTCACATAATATTTACAAAATTTATTTTAGAAACAGCTTGGAAGCGACTACCTCATTCCCAATCAAACGTGTATTCATTTATATTATAATAACCCTTTTTTTATAGAGTTTTTGTTTAATAATTTTATAATTAATAAAATTTTAGAGAGACTATAGAGAGATATTTTTTGAGACTTTGTTGTAATAGCGTATACATTGCCCCAAGAATGTATTACTGACTGTGGAGTCGAGAAACTGGTATTACTATAATAGTAGTAATAGTAATCATAGTATCGTTTGTTCCTAGTGTTTACAGAGTGTATATTACAGAGCAATATTATAAAAAATGTGCACTGTATAATAATATTATACTGTGCACATTTTTCTGATGCTACGTCCTATCTTACTTTCCTTCTTATTTCATAAGCATTACATCGGGCCTGGTAATTACAGGAAGGCTATTGAAGTCCACGAACACCTTAGAGTATTAAACCAATGTTGGTTGAATATTTAAACATTAAAGACCAACACGCATTGGAGCCGCGCCGGACTAATTGCTCCTCAACCCTCTTAGAAATAAGGGGGGAAGGCCTATGCCCTACAGTTGGATGTAAAGAGTCTGTACTTTACTTTTATTAACGAGTTTAACGAGATCTTATGGCAATAAAAATAAAATGTGTGAATGTGTACTTTCATATAATTGTATAAAATTTTGCAATAATATAAAGCATTTTAAGAATAAGCTAAAGTCATATGTTATAGATAATATTTTTATAATTGCATTTTTTTTATAGGAGAGGAGGTAAACGAGCATACGGTTCACCTGACGGTAAGTGATTACCGCCGCCGATTAACAACTGCAACACCAAGGGGATCGCAGATGCTTTGCCGGCCTTTTAAAAAGGAATAGGCTCTTTTCTTGAAGGTCCCTAAGTCGTATCGGTCCGGAAAAATCTCTGGTGGTAGTTGATTCCATAAGGAAGTTTTGCGAGGAAGGAAACTTCTTTTAAATCGCTTAGTGGTAGACCGCCAGTCATCCAGATGGTATGGATGGTATCACGAGTTGTGTCGCGATGTGCGATGGTGAAACTGTGCGGCTGGAATTAGTCCAGCTGGAACAATTCCTCAGAGCACTCCCCGTGGTCAATGCGATAAAATATGCTAAGAGATGAAACATCTGTTCGCAGTGCCAGTGAGTCAAGCCGATCGGAAAGAGCTCGCTCACCGATTATTCGAACTGCTATGCGCTGGATGCGATCAAATGGAAGGAGCTGGCATTGGGGAGCCCCGGCCCGGAGATGGGAACAGTATTCCATGTGCGGCCGAACCTGCGCCTTGTAAAGTTGCAGGCAGTGAGCCGGCATGAAATACTGTCCCGCTCTGCTGAGCACGCCAAGCGTTTTAGAGGCTAATTTGGCCTTCTCTTCCAAGTGACCACAAAACTGCAAGTCACTCGATATGTCGACGCCGAGGATTCCGATACTGGCTGAGGTAACAAGGGGAGTGCTTTAAAACTGAGGAGATACGACGAAGGGGTTCCTTTTAGCGGTAAACGCGCAAACTTGTGTCTTCTGGGGATTAAATTGGACTAGATTTAGTCGCCCCCAGTCCGAGATTTTGTTCAACAAAGTCTCGACTTCAAACACAAGTTTGTCCCGGTACTCGGTGACGTTTTCCCGAGAAATATTGGCACGGCCGGTGCATAAAGCACCACCAATGCTGTCATCTGAATAGCAATGAATGCTACCGACTTGCACAATCTCATTGATATTCAGAAGAAACAGCGTTGGTGATAGCAAGCAGCCTTGTGGAACACCAGCGTCAACGGGCTTGTAACCGGAGCAAGCACCGTCTGCTACGGAACTTGATGCTCCGATCAGCATGAAACCTGGTGATCAAATTGCACAATTTCTCGGGAAGCCCATAGGAAGGAAGCTTCGTAAGAAGCGCTTTGTGCCAAACCCGATCGAAGGCCTTCGCTATGTCTAAAGTAAGGGCCAACGCCTACCCTTTGGACTCTACTGCCTTCGCCCATTTATGAGTTAGGTAACCTAGAAGATCACTAGCCGAGAGCGAACGCGACGGAAACCCTACTGACGGTCACTAATCAGCTGGTGACCTCAAGGTACCGCATGAGCTGGCTGTTAATAATAGATTCCATTATTATAGAGAACAAGGTGATGGCGATAGGACTATAGTTGGACGGATCAGAGCGGTTACCTTTTTTAGGGATCGGGTGCAAAGAACCATATCATCAATATTTAACTAATTAATATATAACCATATCTTCAATTTTGAACATATGAATATTGTATTAATAGAATATTCATATTTTTAAAAGATTATCTTTTTATAAATACATACATATTTTTAAATTAAGTAAATTAAAAGTGATACAAAATAATTAAGATAATATTCCAAAAAAACAACGAAAGTTTTATAACGCATGCTACCGTGTAAATACTGTTAATATTATTTGTTATGTATACTTAATCTCTTTATAAGTGAACAATGTGTTCTTTAAGAGAAAAAATGTCTTTGAAGGGAAATAACTAGTTGACCAGCTAGACTTTGCTCTGTTCTTTCCAACGATTTTTGTCTTTTAAAAAAATGTTCAAATTCGCAATAAAAAATATTAAGCGTCACTTATCGGTATAAAAACTATCACATCTCTCGATTGGAGCAAGTAACACACATTTATAAAATTTCATTAAAATCTGTTGAGTGGTTTTGGATTCAGAGTTCATCGCGGACAAACAATGTGACACGTAATTTTTATATATAAAGATAACAAGAGGAAATTATAAAAAAAACTCGCAATTTAGTTCAAAACCTGCGAACATTAAAAATAATAGAGCGGGAACAGGCTGTTTTGTTCTCATGTCAAACGTCGCATGAATGACATCCAAGCATTTGTAATGTTGTGCATTATAATGGACCCCCTCACCACGCTCAGGCACTTAAGAGCTACAGGGGTGAAACGGTAGTACAATAAATGAGATCAGATTAAGGGAAACGAAATTAATAAACAACAGGGAAATATTTATAATGGAATACTTAATTTAAACTGCGCTGGTTGGTTAGTTGGTAATAGCTTGCATAATGGTTGCTCGTGATATTGTTTGATGAGACAAGTTGGTTTATAATACTAGTAACCGATGCCACCTCAAGCTCATATTTGACAAATAAGATATCTTAATATTCTAGACGATTTATCTTTATCGTATAAGGGTGACAAACGAGCGCACAGTCTATCGTGATGGTAAGTTTAACTGTAGCCCATAGACACCTATACATCTATTCTCAATTTAGGAGTTAGAATGCTTTGTTACCAGTAAAAAGAAAAAAGTGCGGTTCTTGTCATTCACCATACGAAACCTAGCACTACTTTCGCTGGTGTTCCTTCCCAGGTCGTGCCGATCCAATTGTTTTGCAACCAAAATACAGCCCTAGCGTGGCTGTAGTACATAAAAAGTATCCTCGACGTAAGAATTTTAACATAAACATAAGTAAAATAGCATCTATAAACCACAAAGCCTTGTAAATAATTCTATAATCTACATCGATATTTCCAGGTTTGATAAAGAAAAATAGAATATACGCATTACGTAAATTCTATTGTGTTGCAAATAGTTTTTTTTTTTATAGAAGAGAGGGCAAACGAGCATGCGGCTCACCTGATCTCTTGATGATGTTAAGTGACTACCGCCGCCCATGATCAACCGCAACACCAGGGGAATTGCAGGTGCGTTGCCGGCCCTTTAGAAAGGAGTAAGCTCTTTTCTTGAATGTCCCCAGATCGTATTGGTCCGGAAAAATCGCCGGTGGTAAACTATTCCACAGAGAGGTCGTACGCTGAAGAAAACTCCTTTTGAAGGTGTGGATGGTATCGGGACGTTTGTCGCGTAGTGCGTTCACGAAATTTGGCGGCTGGGATTAATCCAAACAATTAATTCCTCAGAGCACTCCCCATGGTATATGCGAAAGAAAACGCAAAGTGCAAACATCTCTTCGCAGCGCCAGTGAATCGAGCCGATCGGAAAGCACTGATAGTTTACAATCAGGCTCGGAATGTTTAATTTTTTTCAGTAAGTTTTTCATTGGAGAGTTTTCTTTGAGTAAGCTATATTTAAATTGTGTATAATGGGTAAAATTTTACAATGCTTAAATAATTTAACGTTATCGCTTTGAAATCTTTCTTTATGTATTTGATTGAGGTATGCT